CTCATAGATGCATGTTTGACACAAATAAATGGTGACTTTCAGCTTATAGATGACGTAATAAACACAATGCAGAATAAACACAGAGCACTTACCCTCGACACGGCGAAGTCTGAGAAAGAGACAAAAGGACAAAGTCATTAATTGAGCATGAAGCCAGATTTCACTCTGACCTGTAATCAATCTACGACAAAACCAGAACCCATCATGTCTTTAAACTGGTTCAGAGGAGGCAGCAGCTGTCGTCAGCTGGAGTCACTCATGAGGAGTTTAGAGGTCACGCGACTAAGAAACGACTTCCTATATCATTAAAACTGATAAATCAAGTTGTTGTATGTTTATTTTTTGACAAAGCAGATTTGATCAGAAGACAATTATAGAAAATTCAGAGTTATGTGAGTCATTGGAGGACTTCCATGATATAGACAGTATGTACAAGTGTATAAAAACTTTGGTTTACAATCTGCATTTGTAAAGTCTGGACAGCTGACACTGGTTCTTGTTACTCTTCATGTCTGTTGTGACGACGGTATTTTCACACCCCAACAACGCCTGCTCATCTCTGATTGTCTTTGCACGGATTGCTTCTACACTTTTATCCCAACTTATATTTTGCTTTCCCCCTCGTCTCCTCCTGCAGGCAGTTTTTATGCTCAGTGGATTGTCAAGACAAACTGAGAAGAAATTCAGTCATCAGGGATTGAAGTTGGGGGTTAAAACAAATTCAGAGTTCATCTTTCGTGTTGCATGTCAGCGTGAGGCATCTCTGAACGTTCTTACGTTACAGCTGCTCGTGTTCTCAGACTTAAAGATGCAGAAAACACATAGAGAGGGACGAGCAAACACAGAAACAGAGATAAAACACAAAGAGGAAAAACTAAACCGAGATACAAACTGAGACACTGCAGACGCAGAGAAAACCAAATCCTCATCCTGGAATCTGACACATAACCATGGAAACTTCCTCCACATACTCAGAAGAATTGAGGGATTCGTTCTTTATTTCTCTGAAGGCAACCGAACCCGGTCCTCACTTTGTCTGATGACGCTTCTCTCATCAAAAGACACAAAAAGCAGCATTTACCAGCTGCAAACACAACCTCGGCTGAATCGCTGTGTTGTGACGACGGCGTTGAAGGACTGATTAGTTCAGTCAGTCAGTGAAAGTTAACGAAGTCCGTCTATTAGTGGTCGTTATGATTTGGCTCCTTCATGTCAGCAGATAAGATGTGGAGCCTTGTGTGAAGCAGAATTGAGCAAAATGTGCTCACAATTACATTCAGACAGTTTACTGGACTCCCTGGAGGGAAAATTGTTAGTGGAGACTGAAAAGCAAAGTTTTTTTTCGTCATTAAAAGTGGATTGTGCCAAACTGCACTGGGACCAGGCCTTATGTTAATAAACCAGCAGGTTATGTTTTGCAAGGTTGCTCAGCGTCGTACTAAAGAGGCCCGGTACTGCTGGGATAGAAGCAGATCACATGTCTTCTTATAAGGTGGTGGAATTTCTGGAAGAAGTTCAATAACAACCGTAGTTCATTGTTCTAAAGATGCTATTTATTCTCTCATGATGTGTTTTAATCAGTCAGGAGTATCAGTGATGAACTCCTGCCTGGTACGGAGACGAGAGGCTCCACAGAAACCCAACGCTGTTCATTTTGGCCTCACAGCTGTTTAGCGGTTAGTAATGGAATTTATTTCTGTGTTTTATGAGGTGGAAATTCCTAAAACAGCCTGAAGCACGAGGGGTTAAGGAGGTTAATTTAACCGCAGGGTTCCCAGATCATCTTAAAAAAACAATCTTGTTTGTTCCTTAGGTGCAGGAATCTGTTCTGTATTGTTCTATTCTACCTGATCATGGCTCAGTGATGGTAAATACACAGTTTGTCCAAAATGCAACTCTTAGCAAGCAAGTTAAACGACAGAAGGAGGAATTCTGGGTGAATTAAACCTTCAAGATTTGAAGAACTTGATCATAAAGTCGTATTTTGTCTTGAGTAAACCTTTCAATTTGTTAGAAAGTACTGCTTAGTCGGGTTAAACCTTTGAAATCATGAGCAGCACTTGGGTGGAATTCTCCTTTAAAACAGGAAGTCATGCACTTTGGTGATGATCTGTTGTGGTTCTCAAAAACAAAGGGTCCTGGAAGTGTGGTCCTGACAGTGGTGCTGCAGACACACAGCTCTTTACCTCACACATGATGCTGAAGTGCAAAAGACTGGATTTAGATCTCAGGCAGAAGCTGTTCCACATCATCACACTCACCTTTGTTTTCAACCCTCAGCTCCTCCTGCAGGAAGTCGCTCTGCCGGTTGCCCAACACGAAGGCCAGAAAGGAGAGAATGAGCGCGTCCAGGATGCCGATGATGGCCAGGATGTAGGCCCAGCGCACCGAGCAGTTTCCCAGAGCGTACCTGGCCGTGTCCTCGCCGCACATGTCCCGGATCACCTCGGCGTCCCAGCCGTTCGGGAAGATCACGCAGCCGATCACCAGGCAGACGGCTGGAGAGCAGAGAGCAGAGAAAAGTGGAAGGATTGATTAACCACCGTCTCAGTGAAGGATGTGACGGATGCAGCGGACACGTACAGAGAGCGTGATGGTGTTTGGGTTGTGGGATATTGGATTTTTATGTAATAACGCGCAGAGCAACGGGGTCGTGGTGATGCGCTCTGTTGAAAAGCAGCACAGGAAGGAGAATCATTACTGGGAAGAGGGGCTGAGTCGTAGAACAAAGCAAGATTGAAAGTCTGGGTGAAGCCAGGTGGGGAAAGAAAACAGGTTTAGGTGTAAAACAGCAGGCTGGGCAGAGGGTTACATGAAGCTAACAGGATGAAAGTGAGAGAAAAGAGGACAGAATGTGATTTTTCTGTCCTCTCTGTGCTGTAAGTGGGTTGCTGGTGTTGCCAGGATCTGGTCCTCTCTCTGGTGTTCAGCCGTTAAAGCAGCAGAACGAGAAACAGCGATGGAGTCGACATGAAGGACAAGTTTACATTTTTCTTCAGCCACAATCCTTAATGTTACTTCTGCTGTGATCATATATGTTCATGTTACGACAGAGATTGAATTATTTCAGCTTTGTTAATGAGAAAGTTTAGTCTGTAATTGTGACGGACTAAAACAATCACAAGCCAATTAACCAATTAACCACTGATTTGTGAGCAAAACGATGTACGATGGTCACTCAGTTCATTTTAAATCCCTCTAAAAGTAAACTGTAAACTCAGTAAACTTTAGCTGCAATAATCACCACCCTTAAGGCTCACTATTTACTATTTCCTGCACGGTTGTGTTCACGTGAACATTTTACAGGTAAAACACGAGCAGTTCCTCCACCTGTGTTTGATTAAATCAGGAATGTATCAGCTGGAAACTTTCTTACAGACACAATGCGACTCGTTTGTGTTCATCTGCTGCTCACTTTGAACCATTTCCAGGAGATGACTGCCATAAAAAAACAAGTTCTTATTTCTATTTTTTGGGGGAAAACACAACAGAAGAGAAACTTGATTCATGTGGAAACACGATCCATGTGTTGGTCTGATGTGTTGGTGTGGATCTCACTGCCACATATGGACACGTTTTGATTCGTTTTCCTTCAGAATGAGTCCGTAGATAGAAATCACTTAAATAAACGACATCACAAACAGAACAAACAGAAGCTCTGATGCTCGTATTAACCACGACGCCTCGGGACACTGTTTCCTCTTTGAAGAATGAACTGTACACGCCCACATCGTATCCTCAGTCTGTGTGTGTTTGGCACGTGAATGTTTTTAATCTGAGCTAGAAAAAGATGCTTTAGTGGGAAATGTGTGTGTGTGTGGGTGTGTGTGTGTGTGTGTGTGTGTGTGTGTGTGTGTGTGTGCTCCCATAAGGCCAGAATGGTCCCTCGGTGTGTTCAGGGTCCAGCTGAGGCCAGGCTGGCCCGAACAGATGGTTCCCTGAATGCCTCATTTACTGGACCGTCGCTACTGTTGAGGACCGTAGACGAAGCAAAGCTCAGCTGATGCATGAGCCCAGCGTGCAGGGACACACAGGACTGTAGAGGCTTCAGCTGATGGAAGGCAAGAAGAAGAAACCCCCAGAGAGGGAGGACGAGTTCCACGAGGATGAAATGTGATAAAAACAACAACAGGCCTGTGGAACGGACGCAGACATCTTTATGTATGCAAAAAGGAAATCTTTGTGAACCTTTTGACATCAGTGTGTGTCTTTAGGTTATTACTGTAGATTGTTGTTGCTGGGAGCGTTAATCGGAGGTCACTCGTTCTTTGAGGATGTTCACTCTGTCATCCAATCACAAGCAGTGTTTCTGAACTGAGCACAAACAGCTAATAAGAGTCACAAAAAGGCAGATTTACACTTTAAAAAACATGATTCCAGAGGTTGACGCTGTGTTCTGAGGATTTAGAAATGTCGTGCCGCACATGTTGTACAGAGCAAGTGAGCTATGAGGCCCAGAGCAACACACGTTAAAGACACTTCAGGTAAAAATGTGAATAATTCTACTTCTGGATGCAACCGATTCTTCAGTAATTCTTTATTCTATAGGTCTCATATTGTCTGGCTAAATTCCTGGAAACCTTCTTTTTTGTATAATTTCCTCAAAGCTTCATTAGCATTTAGCCCCATGGTACATTTCCGAGAACAATCAGCGACACCAAACTGGAAGGTTGAAGCTACTTTCACTTCCTAAAAACACTCAGAAATGTTGAGTTTATTCTTGGAAAAAAAGCTTCTGCTGATGAGAACGACGCCTTACAGAAAGCAGGAGGTGGTTGGGGTGGATGGAGGGCCGACACAGCACTTTTACAACGTTCCATTGTTTTCTTTAAATGTATTTGCTGTCTTTGTTTTGTAGTTTTTCAGATGGAGAGCAGCAACAGAACAATAAATATGAACATAAGTATTTTGGTTTTTTTGCATCTTTTAAGAAATACAGATTGTAGAAACGATGAAGCTGCATTCAGAAGCAGCTTCTGTCAAACAGTGAGTAACGAAGGTAAAACGGTCAAAGCTAAGTTTCTAAAACTCCTCCAGTCTTCCTCAGATTTGGGTCCTGAGCTACTGAACATGTCCCACCTCTCTGTGACGTATACAGACACTGTACAAGTCTGTAAATCCTTTGCGTTTACTCGCCGTCTGAAAATGTGACGTCCAGTTCCTGCAGCGTTTCTTCAGAAGTGACCAAAGCAGGTTCATTGCGGTGTGAGGAGTTTACGTTCCCGGTAGTTTTTCCTTCGATACTGAGCAGGACTGAGTGGTAATAATTCACTGAGCTTCACTGAAATCTGTGTCGTGGACGAGGTCGCAGCGTTCAGCAGCAAACACTCTCATGTGTGGACTGGATGTTTGTTTGTACGCTGTGAAGAATCAGTTTAGAATCTTCTGCAAATGAGTTCCCTCGTGTAAGAAGGCCTTTCTGTGTTCAGACCCTCAGAGAGTCGCTCTGCTCGCTCTTTGCGGGAGTTTATTTCAGTTGTTCTCTGCTGTGACAGACGACAGTAATAACGCACCGACTGCAGCAGCAGCAGCATGATGACGTTATATCGACTAGATGAGCGGGGATCCCTCAGCTCCTGCACTAACCTCACTCCCCGTTAATCAGCAGGATTTATGGGAGTTTAGTTTTCTTATTGAGAAAAACTTCTTGCAAACAGTTTCTTGTTCTTTTTGAAGCTCATCAAAACTCTGAAACACGCTGAATGCATTTTATTGCTCACTTGCAAGATACAAGAATGGGACAAATAGTTTTTATGCACAATATGGGCTTCAGTATAGCATTAAATGTAAATTGTTTTAAGACCACAAAGCCAAAAGATTAAAGTCTACAGAACTTCAATTTAGAAAAATGTGTTTTGACATTTAAATGAGATAATGAACAAATTCATTTTATGTTGATATATTACTGTCTACATTACATTAGATTATATTTTCTATCATTTCTGGCTAATTACAAAAAAAGTTGACACATATATTTATAATTATTACATTTTTTTTTCAAGAATTAATCATGAATCAGTCTTAGTTTCTACAGCTACTGAGGGCAGGCTTGTTTTATTGGAGATTTTATTGAAAATTAAAGAAACTTATGTAGTAACTATGTCAGCATCTTCAACAAAAGTCCTGATTAGATTGCACAGGTCCAGTCTTGAACATTTTATTAGCATCTATTAGTTTTACTGATGTCCTCATCGGGTTAAAACACAAAATGAGGAATTTCCACTGGAGCTGGAAAATCAACCAAAAAGCAGAAGCTAGCGACTGATTCCTGTGAGATCTGTGATTACAGCTCCAGATATCAAATGAAGAATACGTGTTTGCTTGTTTGTAAAAAGTTCTGATAGATATCGACACAACAAAACTCGAAAACAAGATGCATTGTTTTCATTTAAGTTGTGAATCTTTGAGAAAGTTTCCAGGAATTTAGCCAGAAAACATGAGCCCATTAAAGAGTTGCCTCTGATCTACGCATTACTGATGTAAAACTAATGTATTGATTTTAAAAGGTTAAAAACACAGATTTTCTCTTTGCATACATGAAGCACAGGTGGGTGTTTACCGTATGGGGCTTAACAAGGATTTGGCTGAATCATTAAAAGTCCAAAGAATATTTGTGAAATGATGGCACATTAAAAAACAAAACAAAAAAAAGAAGTGTGTATTCTGGCACTGCAGCATCATAGTTTAATGCACTTAAAATAACAACAATGTCCCTGAGGTACCCTACTGAAGGATCAATAAAGTTCCATCTAATCTAACTTCTATCTGATATATCAGCTTTCAGACAGACAGTGAGCATTAAAACAACTGCTCCACCTGTATTTCTCCAGATCACATGTAGGAGGTTTGGTCTCCTGAAATAATCATTTTAAACATTTTGTCTTCTATAAATGTCACTCCAGTCAACACCAGCTTTGATTCTGTTGCAGTTTTGCACTCGGCTTTTTATGAACGACAACAATGTGAGTACAGTACGACTACGACGAGGAACGGATTTCCACAGCCTCTGCTTTTTGGAACTTGGACGATGCAAAGGAAACGAGGACGCTGCCAAATACTCTCCACAGATGGAGCTGTTGTGTTGACAAATGTTGTAGGAGGCAGTTGACGGCGAACAATATGGCTCAGAGATTTCTCAGGGTTTATCGGCGCCGCAATCTTTCCAGAAAAACATTCCACATGAATTAACTTTTCATCACAACGTCAGGACTTATTAAAGCCGTCCACTGCTTCTAAAGTTGATCCTCCAACTGAGTCACAGCCAGAAAATGACAAATAAACACAATTCACTCGAGTCTATGTGACGGAGAAACAGAAGAGAAACCTGCCATCAAGCTGAATACTATCACATAAAACATAAGTACGTAGTCTGCAGGATGAACAGGAGGAGAAAAACCTCTTCTAGAGTGCAGCTCTTTTAAAATTTGAAACTCCAACATGTGTTATTGATTTTTCTTTTCCTCTGCACTCTTCTTTAAAAAAAAAAAAAAAAGAACTG